TTCCTGGTAAATTTTCACAAATTAAATTGCAGTTTATAGAAGCATTTAACAAGCTCGCGGTAAAAAAAAATCAAATGTAACAGACATTGCGAAGTACCCAAAATTAATAAAATAAAAACTAACACCATAAAACGAATGGCACGCATAGACTAATAATTGACGGCTGTACTCGCAACTAGTATCGGATTGTCGATGCCACAGTAAAGATCAAAGGACTGTACGCACGCGCTATGTTCGAGAGCGGAGATGTGCGTCCTTTTGTTGAATTACCTTGTATATAATAAGGTTACTGGCTTCATTATATATAAGTAAGGAAGGGGAAACACATCGTTGTATAAAAAATTATGAAAAATAACTTACAATTATTTATATATAATAAGTTCACTGATTCCATTATATATAAATAATGAAAAGGTAACAAATCATTATATATAAATAATGAAAAGTAACTTACGATTATTTATATATAATAAGTTCACTGATTTCATTATCTATAAATAACTGCTTTTACATTTCTTTATAAATAAATAATAGCTGTCGCAAAACCATAATGCTTGGATTTCAAACTCATTACAGTATCAGTGTAATGCACACGTGTTATCGTGTCAAGATCATTATGTAAATAATGGTTTTTACTTCCAATTATATATAGGCCTAAATAACCGTTGAAGTGGAGTGCCATTATTCCTAAATAATGACATCGTAGGAAGCATGGTTTATAAATAATTCGTTATGCAAATTACGAAGTAATAAATATTCACCAGTGCTCTAAAGTTACAATTCGGTTCTGTATTCACCTATCGAAAATGACAAAGCAAGGTATACCGCAGATTATTGAATCGAGTGGTGGCGCCAATAATAATAATAATAATAATAATAATAATAATAATAATAATAATAATAATAATATTAATGATAATAATAATAATAATAATAATAATAATAATAATAATAATAATAATAATAATAATAATAGTTCAATGACATTAATTTAAAATATTTTGCGTTCTGTTAGGACAAAAGCTCGCTTGGATAGCCTCATGATGCTTGGAATACATCGCGATAGGAGGAAGCAACCTCGACCTTGACATCGTGGTTGACAGATTTCGTGCAAAATTTCCATAATGTAGCCATATATCCGTGGCTGCCTGGAACCCCAGCGCAGTGGCATAAGCAAGAATTTAGTCTAATGAAACTTGTTTATCATCTTGATACCTTCCGACGAAAATATCACCGAAAAAATAGATAAAACGACAATTGAATGACCAACAAAGACAACTGAAGACAATAGTTTGTCATTAGAAGTTATTTAGTATAACTTTATTCGGAAAATTGATCTCAAGATCGAGTTGCCGTCTCCGGCGTTGTCAGTGACGTCGTATGATTAGTGTGCAATTTTTACCAATTAACCCCTAAGTAAAAAAATAGTTCAGCCATGTAGTACCTTGCAAATCAATCCAGAAGCCTGGTAGTTTGTTGATTGTTTATTGGTAGCGTCCTTTCGCTGCCAAGTTTTTTGGCAGTTGCGTCCCATTGACATCCCCTTTTCAAATGTTAAAAAATAACCAACATAAATTTTATTAAAGTGCCATTCTCCAACTTTATCTCATGCAGCCACACACATGACGGGGCTCAGGTGGATATAGTAATTTTCCTAGTTTTTATGTATGACATTGCCATTTTCCGGCATCAAAATTCCCCAATTTTTAACATTTTCTCACCTCCATGATGGGGATAGGCCTTTGTGGATATAGTAATTTTGTTGTTTTTTATTTGCCATTTTCCTGCATCTGAAAGTCTCTAATTCTAAAAATTGTTTTTACCTCATCTATAAAGTCTCAAATTGACTCTTCTGCGCCCCAAAACCATGGTGGGGCTCAGGTGGATATCGTAAGTTTTGTACTATTCAAGTGCTTTTTTGTGCATCTAACGAGTCTCAACTTCTCAAAATGTTCTCACCTGAGCTGCAACCATAGTGGGGCTCAGTTGAATATGTTTTGTTAGAATAGTATGTACTTAAATTTCATTTTCGGGTACTATAATTAAAATTGGGGTTTTTTTCTTTTTACTCAATTTGTCAAAAACATTATTATTTATTAGGTAATGTAAGTTCCATTTTGGGGCATCCAGTGGTATAAAATACTGAAACTTTTGCGTCACCGCCAACCACGATGGTACTGACGTGATGTGGACTCTCATTACATCAGCACCCCCTTTTTTTAAATATGGATACGCCACTTTGCTGAAAACAATAGTTAAGACAAATATATTTCCATTCGTTTTGTTGTTCATGTAAATGTCTGATAGGTTATTACTTTAAAACAATGCTAAACACAGTGTCAATACGAACATTTACACATGTAAGACTCAGCTAAGCGACTCCGAATTAAAGTGGAATTTAGTGGTTATGTAACGTTTGTCATGCACTGTATTATGTGCTATAGAAATGGAAGACAATAATGTAATGGGAATGAACGTCTCTGGCTAGTGTGGATTTAAACAATGTCCTAATGGCAATGTTCAAAATAAATGTAAATCAAACAAATATGGCTGTTGGGGTGAAAGGGGGTGTATCTTTGTAGTTAGGCAGTTATATACTGTCTTTATGTCTAAACTAACTTTAATTTTAACACCGGGTATCCATTTTAAAAGCTGCTAAGAGTTTCGTGGAGGTCCTTTTCGTCGCTCTGTTTTTGAATATGTATGGTTGAGTTTACTTTGTCATGAATTGCAAAGAACATGAATAAAGAAATAAAATGAAAAATGTAAAAAATATGTCTATATGCGTACAACAACCAGATTATAGAATTTACTAATAGATCAATAACTTTCCAATGATAACCACAAGAACTACATTACTCCACCAAATTTTAGAAACAATAGCAGTATTGTACAAATAAACGGCATCATACTTTTTATGTTAATCATCTATTTATTTTGGCGCACATTCATCATACAGTGCTCCTATCATTCCTATCATTATCAAAATCGAACGCACAATGAACAGATCATAATTATGCCTATACAAAAAAATTATTAGATCATCACTCCAGCCTGCGTCAACAAAATTGGGAAATATTGATGCGGAAATTTAAAAAAATGTTTCTTTTCCTTGGCCGCATCATTTTTTCAACAGCATAAAAAAACAATGTAATTTTGTGGTTGGAAATACGTTTTCTTTAGAAAACAATAAAAATTAAACCTGTTTTTATACAATATTTACAATATTCTTGCCAAATAAAAAAGTCCCTCCCTCATTTATTAAAAGAAGCAGTTGTTCTGATTTAAAATAAAATAGTGATCTAATAATTTTTCCTATGTGCCCTAAATTGGCTATAGTGGGACACAGTGATAAACTATAAATATCTTGTTTTTAATATTTTCAAAAAAAAATCCTATTCTCTTTCATTGTGTCCAATGGTTGCCAAATTGGCTATAGTGGGACACAGTGGTAAAGTACAACTGTCCTCTTTAATATTTTCTAAGTTAATCATTTTCTTTTTCATTGTGTTCAGTGACTGCTAAGAGCACATAGAAAAAATTATTAGATTATCACTCTTTAAAAAAAATAAACGGTGAGGGAGGCGTTTTTTAATTTTTTTTTTAAATCCGAACAATTGATTATTTCGCTTTTGTTTTAATTGATGAGGGAGGGACTGTTTATATTTGGCTAGTAATAATAAATATTGTATAAAAACTGGATTAAATTTTATAGTTTGTATCTGAAGTCACAGATTTGCATTGTGTTATGCTGTTAAAATAATTGATGCGGCAAAAAAAAAAAAAAAAAAAAAAAAAATTATTCCCGCATCAATATTTCCCGAATT